TATATATTATATTATATTATATTATATTATATTATTATTATATTATATTATATTTTAATTACATTAGGTATAATGATACATAGTACTATTTGTCCACTAATATTTTCACATATGTGAATTTTATTTTCTTTATTAAATTTAAGCCCTTTATTGGTGAATCCATTTCTTACCTTTTCAACATATAGACTATAATTCAAATTAGACAACTACTAAATATGCACCAAAAGGGTAATTATTTTCCCCCTACAATATCCTTGAATACACAATGTTGATGCTCTAAGTTTGAACTTTAAAGATGTTGAAGTAATTTAAGCTGGATTGGAATTCTCAAAGAAGTGACTAGTGATCTGTGAATAATACATCTGAGTAGATGATTGCATACAGATCTTATAAGGCATAGAAGCTTATATGTTTTTAAATTTCCAAAATCTTCAGTGTACATTCTGTCAAAGTGCAGTTATACCTATTTGAGAAGAGTATGATGGGTTAACTGTTTCTTGACATTTTTGACAGAATTAATGCCTAGCCTTACATCATCATAATACCCACCCTATGCCTCTCCCCTACCCCAAGACCTGTATTGATATTAGAGCTGAGAAATACTACTTTTCTAATACCTATTAGGACATAAAATATAAAGAACTTTAAAGAAAGCTGTTTATCACTCTCTGTGTCTGGGAAAAGTGACAAATTCCACTGAGTCTTGAAATGTTTAAGGAAACTCCTCATGATCTACCAAGCTCAACAGAGCTGAGAAAATTCCCAAGGATAAGTCCTGGAAGAGAGATCCCTGTGCACAACAGATACAAGGTTTTCAAGTAATATGCATCTATCGATCTTATAATAAAATAAACCTGAATTTCTCTTTTTTTCTGAGGAAATTTCCTAGTTTTATTTATTATTTGTTTTATTTACTGTCCTTTATTTTTGCTTATTGCAGTTTCTCAGACATCCCCTTTCTCCTCTTCTTTCTTAGACAAGCACAGTAGTTCCACTTAAAACATAAATATACATTAGCCTGAGATTCCTTTAGAGGAAAGAAAGAACATCAAAAGCAGAAGAATATTTTGAGTTGGTAATTTCCCTGAGAATGAGATGGATAAGGTGTTTTATTCTGCTCTCCTTTGAAAGTGATTTCCTGTTTTGCAAAGTGAGATGGGTATGCAATTTCTTATAAATCATCTGAACGAATCCTGAGTGGGCACAAAGTGGGTTTTTTTTTTTTTTTTTTTTTTTTTTTTTTTTTTGGAAGGACAGAAATATCCCAGGGCTTCAAATTTAGGCCATTATCGGAGATTTAAGACCATTTTCAGTAATTTCCCTGGGCTGGGCATACACGCCCTTATAAATTCAAAATTCCAAATGACACAAATATAGAGCTGATGAAGTTATTTTTAGAGCTTATGCCTATGACTATTAAAGGAAATAGGATATTGATTAGAATCTTGATGCTGAATGAAATAGGGTCATGGAGAGATTGTTTTGAGTTACAGGTTACCTGCTCTGTAAAATCGGTCCAGAAGTGGAGAGTAAATGGAAACAGGCTTAAAAAGTGGTTTGCATACTGATGTGCTTAAAGCCTCTAACCTGGCATCCTATTTGTTTTCTCTCATCTCTACCATGTGAAGATATACTCAGGATAGGATGTATTTGCATTTAGAAAATGCAATTCCCTAGTTTAATCGACACGGTGATCTCATCAGGATGTTATAGACATTGGGCATATTCCTCATTTATCTCGCTAAAGGTAGAAACTTGCTTTGGAGCCCATTGACATTAGATGGAGAGATTGCTTTGGACCTCTTCAAGCATATAGCCAGATCTGTCCAATTTTGTTTTTCCCTTCATTTTCTGCTCTTATCTTTATTTAATATTCTCTCTCACTCTCCTCCTATTTCCCTGTTGTACGGAATTGACACTTCTTTTCTGGTCTCAGTAGCCCATGGGGAGTAATGATATCACCTTAATATCAGTAATTCTAACTTCCTTGGCTCTTGCACCCTCCTGCTGAGGAAGCCAGGAGGGTCTCATGTGGCTCACATGGGCTTATGAATATGTCCCCTGCTCTAGTCACCACTTCTCCTCTCCAGGACCCAGCCGTGTCTCAGAGACACTGTGGGTGGTTTCCCATTTCCCTCATCTCTCCCATGGCAGCCCTCACTGGGCCTATATGTTGGTCTGTGAGCAAGTAGTTGTTTGTCGAGTTCTAAAGCAGTGCTGCCTAATGTTACATGCTCCTCAGGGCTTAATTAAATAGTTCTTTTAGTTTTCATTTTCAGCCTCCCCTCTGGCTCCCTAGGACATACATCCAGGGCAGAGCCAGACAGACTCAAGTGGCACCTGCCACACTGAATTCACT